TGGGACTTTTGTTTCGGGGATTTAAAAATGGGAAAGTTGTTGTGCAGAGAGAAAAGTATGATGAGGGGAAGGTATGGGAACAGAGCTTTGTCATAGTGTTAGTTCAGATGGCTTTGCTCTGTGGATACACCATTTTGCACTCGAGTGTGTACATATATGTTAAATTTACAGTCACTGTTTTGATAGATACACACATGCAAAGATAACAGAATGTACTTTCTACCATGCTTTATACTGCTCTTTCTCGTCTCACCTCTGGAGGGTGCCTTGCCTTATATCTTGCTTTATCCATTGCGGTCACTGTATTGAAAACGAGAGATAAAATGACTGCCACTGCAGTGTGACGTCTGTGCCCTCCTTCTTCCTTTCTCTCTGTCTCTCTGTCTCTCTCTTAAACACACACACTCATGGCTGGGATTATGTTTAAGTGCTCTGGCTTAATGAGAAAGCCTACATGGATGGGCAGTGGGGTGATGATCACGTGTCCAACCCTTGTACTACCAGTTTAATCCAACAGAGGGACCAATTTCACTGTCTCTCCCACCTCTGCTCCCTCTTGCTCAGTCTGCCTCTCCCACCCATACAGTAGGATTACATTTGCAGTGCTGTTGACATCGGCCTCTTTTTGTTTACCGAGGCACAACTCCTTAAGTACAGCGACTATTTCTGAAGACACAGTATTGTTGTCATGCATATTTTAGATTTTGGTTTCAATAGAGGACATAACCAAAGGACAGTATTGTTAATTTAACTGGCTGGTTTTAAAATCTCTTTTTTTCCTCAAGAACTATATTTTGATTTTTTCATCCTATGACCACACCCACTAAGGGCAGCTTTAACCTTTTAAAATACGCAATTTGGTAAGATGGTTGTTTAGGATGCTGTTTCTGCTGTCTCTTCTAAGAAAAGGTCTGTTTCTTTGTTTCAGTGCATCTTTTTTTATTAAGCTAAATCTGAAAGCACATTTCCTGACACCACAGACGCTGCTGCCCACCTACACAACAGCCTGCAGACATTTCCTCTATTTTTCTCGCTCACCTTCTCTTTGAACTAGCATGAAGAAAAACAGTATGTGTGCCTTTTAACATACTACCACTAGCAATGTAATCTGTAATACCATGACTACTGTAACATTATGCAAAGTGGTACCAAACCATGGCTTTATGACATTTTGAACAACATGGATTTGAAACCTTGTGGGCTGCAGTTTCTGATTATATACGTTTATGATTGTCTTTTCCCTTTCCGTCTAAATGCTTTAAAATAAGGCACATACTGAACATTACCTGTGAACCAGTAGGTGTACTAGTATGACCTCTAAGAGCCTGCATGCGCTTATTCCCTGCAGTCAGTACATCTGATTATCACAGCGCCGGATGGCTGTTTCCTGCCATTTAGGAATGAGAGGAAACAACACCAAAATACGCTCTGACATTCATTCACACAAAATAAGTTTGTCCTTAGATAGCATTTGTGTTTTACACTGCCTGTGTGTGTGTGTGTTTGTGTGTGTGTGTGTGTGAGCGTGCATGCCTACAGGCACAAATGCCCTTTAAGTTTGCATGACTGCCTCTGTTTATATATGTGTTGACTGAGGGAGTGATGTAAGGAGTCCTGCTTGATGATAGCCCGGCCGTGACCCAGTTCTCCGTGGATCTCTGCTGTCATCTGACTCACTAAAATGGGGGGGATTCCAGATAACAGACTCTGAGGGGAAGTAATATGAATGGCTTTTAGAGTGGCCGCTTACAGTATTAATGAGGTTGAGTCTTAGTGAAGAGAGTGTTATTAATACGGTGGCCATCTTGCATAATTGATGCAGTGGGGGGTGTTAATATTCTGGGAGAATGAACAAAGAGGGAGTTTCAGTTTTTAAAGTTTAATTGATCTATCTTCCCCATATCTATCACAGGCCTAGGTGTGTGAAGCCACTGTTTTTTTCACCCTTTAGTTTGCAAAAAGTATGAGCTCTTGTGTTTTCACTTAAGACCCCAGTATGCCCCTCAGCCAGCCCTCAGCTGGACCAGCGGATGTCTGACAGAGACGCAGCTGGAGGCTCTCCAGAGTGAGGAGAGCAGGCGAGAGACGACAGAGGAAAGTGTGAATCTTGAGGGATTAGAAGGGGGAGGAGTTGAGAACACAAAAAAGTCAAATTCAGTTAAATGAACTGATGAGGAAGGGGAACTAAGTTCTGACAACGTGTGTTTTTGAAGACAAGACAAACACCATTAGCCAATTAGCCCTTTGAAATCTGTGTTTGTTGATGCGTAACAGGCATCTGCTGCAGGTGGAATAATGGTGATAGCTTTATCTGCAGCACCCTTGAGTGAAAAATCAAATAATCCACAGCTCAGCGGCATGCAATTAACGCTGAGACAGATGGGTGTCTTTGAAACAGGTATGAGAGAGCTGTAACATATCCAACACATCGGAAAGGCAGAGGAAAAGAAGGAGGAGAATGACAGAGAGGGGTGCAAAGGTCAGGTGTAAATCCAGCTCTGTGTTTGTTGGTGACAAGATAAACGTCTCTTGTTTTCATTTTTGTGTCATTGCTGAACACACAGGTCCACATGTCCCACTGGGGAGAATCTGCTAAATGTCACGGTTAGCGTGGCAGACGACATGTGGGACCATCAGAGACCATTAGACCCTGTTGAAAGAAACTGTGTTATCTCTGTTTCTCAGAGGGACAGAGAACTAAATGTCAAATAACATAACCCTGAAAAAAGTTTTGCAGACACACTATGACGTAATATTATGACTGTACAACATATAGGGGAGAACGGGGATGGTTGTCACACTTTTTACCATAATTGGAATCCCTCAAAAACTGTATGTTTTATAGATTACCTTTTAATTTGGAATGGGAGCCTAAAATGTCAGGTAGAAATGGAGTGACCTTACTCTCCTCAAGTGTTTCTATTCAAAAGGTATTGACTGACATGTCTTTGCACCCATCGCCATTGTGGGTTATAGTCACACACTATGGGGGTGGTTGTCCCCCCTTTTTTTCAAAGGGGAAAATAAAAAAAGATGGAGGCAATCTTAAAAATGAATATAAAAAGTTACATTTTTAAAATACCACAGCACACTTCCTGCATTGTTAAAACATAAAGAAGAAAAGAATATTTAATATATATTTCTCTCTCCCTTCATATGCCACTTTTCAATGGTAATAATTGTCTTATTATAAACCCACTGCCATGAAAAACACTCCTAAAATGACCCTATAGGTGACCTCTGACCCAGTTCTGAAAATGTCAGTACCAACATTTTTAACAGCACCCTCTAGGTAGCAAGATCTAATGAATGTGACAACCCACCCTGTTCTCCCCTACACTTTATCATTATACTGTAACTGATAAATCCAAATCCAGTCTATTATAAACACACTGTTTGTAAGCCTAGAAGGGATTTTTTGTGTAATAATTTGTCTTCCCTCAACGGACATTTGGCTGCTTTTCCAACTCCCCGTTTCGCCACCTCCTCCTTGTCGCCTTGGAGTGTGAAGAGTCACTCTGTATCCACCCATCCACTAGCAGCATCCGAGTGAGTCACTGTCTTCTCCCCGTCTCCCGGGATGCCAAGAGCTGTCATCGCCGTGGGCAGACCGGGCGTGGGTGAGAGTGGCAGTGCACCAGGAGAAGAAAAAGATTATGTGGGCGGCGGACGGCTCATCTTGGCCCAGTGGCCGGGGTGAATGGAGAAGGCTCAGGGTCTCACAAGGCCACTTCTTCACAGCATAGAACTTGTTTAGAGAACACCGATGGATCTCAGCACCTTACTGGATGCATCATTGTTGCTCCTCAGACTAATTTGCACTGATGTTCTTGGTGGCTCTTCAGGATCACTGAACTTCAGTTGGTTGTGTTTTCTGCAGGTGTTGCTCCACTACTGAGATAAAATTGTGTCAAAAGAGCTTTCATCATGTTGACTGCAATAGGGGGTAGGGTCTAATCCAATTAACTTGAATCCAATAAATCTGAATTTAATTGAAGTACATGGGGTCTGAGGCTGAAGTAATTAGAGGGATAGCCAGAGCAGGATGATTTGGTTGTTAGTGTCGCCACCTGCTACACTGCACATGCGCTGTTCAGACCGTCTGCAGCGTCAAAACATCTGAGCTGAAGCTCATGATGTACTCTTGCCACCTATGGATTTGTGATGTGATTTGGGAGTTATTAATTAATGATATTGGTGATTGCCAAAGGAAACAGCATGTGCAAAAATCTAATTTCTGTAGCAAATACTGATGTGGTTACTTTTAGATAATAGAGCGCAGTTTATGTGTGCATACTGCCTGCCAGGAGAGTCCAGCTTTGTGTTTTTGCCAGATGTGGAAAGGGGTCACATCTGGAGCATCTTGTCTGTGACCCGGTTAGCGTCGTCACCGGTCATGACATCACGGGCTTTGTGTTTTATGTGGGAATAAAACAACCTGCGCCGCAAAGAGCTCCGCATCTCACATCCAGTAGCGGTGTAAGTGCAAAGCATCGTCAGCTGTCACTGTAGGGAAAAGTGATATCATGAAGGCACAGAAAAGGTTTAGGGTTTAGTGGTGACAGATGTCCCCACGGTATCCCGGCTCTTAACTCATGAACAGACACAAGGTGAAACAGCCAGATCCACCTCGCTATTGTTCTGATGGTTGTGTGGTAACAACAGGGAGAGAGCCCCCCTCCCACACACTCCTAACACCTCCGCCCAATTCACCTGTCACCTCTTATTTATTATCATTACTTTTGTTGTGATGCAAACTAAAATCGCTGCTTGAAATGGGCTCATACATACTGAGCATTGAGAGACTGCTGCACTACAACCACAGAGACCCCCCCCTTTTTTTTTTTTTTTTTTTTACATTTGTTATTTATCTGTTCCTTTTAATTTGTTAATATACTCTGCATGTATCAAAAATCTGCCTTTCCATTTGGCTCGAGGGCTCCTGAGTAATTGTGGGTTTGCATCAGTGAGGAAATTTAATCGCCAGCCAGGTTCATAAATCAGTTTCCCAGCGCACAATGAAAAGGGCGGTGGCGCTGACAACAAGAGGGGAAAACGATTGTGTCGAAATCTCGTCCCCGAAATCAGCGTGCAGAGGACACTGACCGCTTCATGTACGGCGGTCAGATGTGCAGATAGATAAAACCCCAGAGTCATTTCATCGTTTTCTGTTTTTATTTTTATTAGATGGTCCTCGATGATTTTCTTTTTTTTCGGAGGTGCTGAAATGCAGCCAGCATCGTTTGAGCGAGTGGCTACCCCTCCCCTTTTGCCCACAGACACCATCACCACATCGCAGGGAGAGGGAGAGAGAGCAATAGGCAGCATCAGTGAAAGGAGCCAGCCTTGCTTGTAGGTTAGAGATTTTTAAAAACAGCACAGACAAAGGAAAACATGGATGCACAGGGGAAAATTCCCTTCCATCAGGCACCAGAGAGGATGCGGTGGTCGTCCTGCACATAGCCGGAGTTATGCACGGACTATTCCCTCGTTTTTAATGAGGCGGGTGGGCACGCACAGCAAGCTGAAAAGGCGGAAAGATCTCTCCAACCCGTCTGCAAATTCTGCCTGCGATGGCTGTGACGGCGCGATGCTGTTACAGTATAAATGAGAATGTGCCTTTTTCTTTGTATTTGGTTATTTTCGTACTCAGTGGCCTTACAAATGCACAAATTCGATACTCCATTCCGGAGGAGCTGGAGAACGGGGCACTGGTCGGTGACATTGTCCGGGATTTGGGTCTGGACCTGAGAAAACTTTCCACGCGACGTATCAGAATCACATCGGACAGCGGACGGAGATATTTCACCATCAACCACAAAACTGGAAAGCTGGTGGTGAGTGACCGCATTGACCGAGAGACAGTGTGTGAATTCAGTGGCACCTGTTCGCGCAATCTGGAGGTGGTGTTAGAGAATCCACTGGAGGTGCACAACGTGGAGGTGGAGATTTTGGACGTGAACGACAACGCGCCGCAATTCCCCCGAGATGAATATCAGCTCGAGGTGTCGGAGTCGGCTCTCCCCGGGTCGCGCTTCCACATCGAGGGAGCTCAGGATGCAGATGATGGCTCCAACTCTGTGAAGCAGTACCGCCTCAGCCCAAACGACCACCTCGCCCTGGACTCCATTAAACCCTTTGCAAACAATAAGCACATCGAGTTTATTCTCAAAAAGCCCTTTGACCGCGAGCAGATGCCCTCCCATCAGCTGATCCTGACAGCTATGGATGGAGGCACCCCACAGAGAACTGGAACAGCCAAAATCAATGTGCGCATCCTTGATGCCAATGACAACGTACCTGCGTTTGACAGCTCCGTGTACAAAGTAAAGCTGTCTGAAAACTCTCCAAAGGGCGCACTTGTGATCAAGTTAAACGCAACAGACCCTGATGAGGGCTCAAATGGGGAGGTGTTTTACTCCTTCAGCAGTTACACACCTGAAAGAGTGAGACAGATGTTTTCCATGGACACAGAAACAGGAGAAATCAGGGTGAAAAACAATATAGACTATGAGGAGACAAACTCATATGAAATGTACATACAGGCCATGGACAAGGGCCCGGCTCCTGTGGCAGTGCACTGTAAAGTAGTTGTAGAAGTTTTGGATGTCAATGACAACATTCCTGAGATTGTACTGTCTTCACTCTCCAGCCCCGTACGTGAGGATGCCCGGGCTGACACGGTTGTAGCATTGATCAGTGTGAATGACCGTGACTCTGGACCAAATAAACAAGTCACCCTGGAAATCATGCCCAATTTGCCTTTTAAGATCAAGTCTTTCCGGAACCACTACACCATCGTCACAGCCGCTTTCCTGGACCGGGAAACCATCTCGTCCTACAATGTCACTGTCAACGCCGTGGATGGAGGCACGCCACCCCTGTCTTCTCAAATGACCTTTAAAGTGGACGTTGCAGACGTGAATGACAACCCACCTCGCTTTGAACAGACATCGTATACTGTTTATATTACAGAGAACAATGCCCCCGGTGCACCTCTGTGTGTTGTTAAGGCCACAGACGCTGATGCTGGAGAAAATGCTCGCATCACCTATACTGTCCTCAATGACAACAACCATGGTATCCCTGTAGCCAGCTACGTCAGCATCAAACCTGATAAAGGTGAAGCCTATGCCCTGCGAGCCTTCGACTTTGAGAAGCTGAGAGAGTTTCACTTTCAGGTTAAAGCCCAGGACAACGGTGTGCCTCCGCTCAGCCGTGTGGCCACAGTGTATGTTTACATTATGGATCAGAATGACCACGCACCCAGGATAGTCTACCCACCTGCCAATGGGAGCCGCACCACAGAGACGCTGATGAAAAACGCTGAAGCGGGAGTGTTGGTTAGCAAGGTGACGGCATGGGATGGGGATGCAGGGCAGAATGCTTGGCTGCTCTACGCCCTGGAGCAGACCAACAAAGACCTTGACCTATTCAAGGTGCATGAGTACACAGGTGAGATCCGCACCACAAGGCGCGTGATTGAGGACAACTCCACCTCCTTCGTTTTGACAGTGATGGTGCGCGATAACGGCCTACCACCGCTCTCCTCCACAGCCACCATCCATGTGCACGTGATGGAGCTGCCCCCAAAGTTGGCCCCTGACCCCAAGCGCATCATCAGGCCCAACAGCCCCCTAATGTTTTCCAATGTCACCCTCTACCTCATCATTGCCCTGAGTGCCACAACCTTCGTGTTCCTGGTCACCGTCTTTGTGCTGGCCATTGTGCGTTGCCATGCCTACTGCACCCAGCCTGGCTCTTGCTCCCCGTGTTGTGTCTCCAAGAAGAGTGTTCCAGAGGGGGGCACCTCGGCTGGTGGCGGTGGGGGTGGAGGAAGAGCTGCAGGTGGTGGAGGAGGAGGAGGAGGAGGACAAGGAGGTGGTGGAGGCGCAGCTGGAGGGCAACCCAACAACAACGTGGCCCTGCGCCGCGACCTCAAAGTGGAACCGCATTATATTGAAGTGCGGGGAAATGGGTCTTTGACCAAAACATACTGTTACAAGACATGCCTGACTGCCACGTCAGGAAGTGACACTTTTATGTTCTACAACACAGGACGGCCACACAGTGGCACCTGGGGCTCGGGCTACGTCACCAGCCACAGCGGACAGAGCCAGTTATTTGTACGGCGTCTCAGTATGCCAGACGCAACTGCCATTCAGGTGTGTGTCTGGTGTGATCTCTGTGTTTGTAATTTTAGATCGCCTCATAGCAATAAATGACACACAAAGCACAAGCCATAAAAGGGAAATTCTCAGTGAGTTATGGTTCAGGGTTTGCTCTAGGGCGGTGTTCTTGCAGTAGGATTGCAGTTGACATTTACAGCTTAAAGCCTTACATCTGTTCCTCTGGCTTGTGATGTTTAAAAAAATATATTTTCTTGCTGCTTCTTCAGACAGAAAGTACAGAGTGGGAAATGAACATTTATTCAGTATTTACATCCCTTGCATCCAAGACGTTTTTGGAAAAAGGGGTTCTGCTTAGTCCTTTAAGGTCTCCCAAATACATTTCCATAATCTGTGTTTATCAAGATGGAAAGAGAGATATCACCATTTTGTTTCTTTGTAGGCTTCCATTGTTGCCTTTGCTGGTCTTTACATTACGTCCTGGTTATCTTAAGCTCTGCATCTTGGCATCCAGGAGTGTGAGTTGTCTCTCTGGGCTGTGTATTTTTTTGAGTGGGTGCACTCTGATTTGCTGGATGTGGTAGATGATGTCTTTGTGTGTGCTCCACGCTTGCAAAAAACAGTTGTTTGGTGATTCAGAGTATGAGATGTTAAAGTGCACCTCTCCTCCACAGTTCTGCAGAAAGCTAATCAAAATATTTTTTCAAGATCCACCTCTCTGACTCTCTCGGCCTCTTTCTCTTCTCCTAGTTACTCTTTTTTTTTTCACCACAAACCAGTAGATTTCAGCTGCTTGTTCACCTATGACCCCACACTGCCAGTGCTATTTGTCTACTGCGGGCTGTGTGCCACAGTATTCAAGTCCAGTAGGTCCAGAGGGCATTCAGTGGTCATCTCTATAGAGGGGGAGAGTCTGGGAAATAGTGCAGCTTTCGCCAGCTATGAGGGCCACCAGTCCCACTGCACCAAAATATCCTCTTCTGGTCACGTACCTCTCTGGTGCTAAGCCAGAGTTTGGGAATCCGTGAAGAAGGCAGAGATGAGGCAGAGACTGTCTGAATTTCATTTAGATTGAGCTTTCCATGTTTTATTTCCCATCTAAAAGGTTGTTTACAATATGCACACAGTTGTTTGCATCATTTCTGATTGTAGTAAAACCAACAGTATTAATAAGATAAAACAAACATTATTTGTTTCTTACATACTCGTGTTTGCCCCTGAGCCTCTCTGGGTTTGTCTGTGCAGTGCAGGAAAAAACATTTTGGGAAAATAAGTGGTAAAAAAAAAAGGAATAAGAAATGTGTAAAGTAATTGTTCAGTTACCACTTGACGTGTCCCTCATTAAATGCCAGTCATGTTTGTTCTTGCTATGTAATTAATTAACTGGCAGCGATGTGTTTCTCAGCACTGTGCGTGGATTGGCTGGCTCCGCGCAGATGAGGCGGGGGATGAAAGGTGATTGGACACAGTGTTGATGGCGGAGGTGTGAGCTCTGTATCCATGCTAGAAGTGTTCACTCAGAGGGAGAGGGAAGAATGGAGAAAAAGGCGAGAAAAGGGTTGAGTAGCCAAAATTAAAAGCTTTGTTTATTCACTGATTTTCAAAGTATGGTCAGGCAAGCAAATGAATACACTAAAAACTCAACTCGTTTTTTTTTCTATATCCATCTTATTTGGTTTCTTCCTTTTAAATGATGAAGCAGAATGCATTGAATTCTCATCCTCGGTATGAGTCAGATTTGTTTGTCTGTTTACATTTACTATGTGGATTCTAGTGTTGCATGTATGTCTTCCCTTGGGAGTAAATCAGACTGCTGACATGTTTATGTTCCAGATGCTTGTATCTAATGTGTGTATGTGCCAGTGTGTGTGTTTTTATTTACCCCCATAAACACCATACGGCCAGACAGACCTCTCCCTTCGGCCACTGCCATTCTGCAACAGGGCAAACATTTAGCAAAAGCATTAAGTCCCAACTGTGGACAATCTGCTCTTATTTAATGTTTGTTGTCTCACTCATGTTATGCAAAAGGCAAGCTTAGAGAAGGAGCGTTTGTTTAATTGTTTTTGACAATATACTAACACTTTTCACCTTTCAGTATCAATCTAAACTGTCGACCTAGCAAGTGATTGCTTAAAATAATCAGGTGCACCTTTAGTTTTCAGTACGATAAGTGTCTCCCATGCTGCAGCGCTCCGTATCCCTGTAGACATTCTGCTCTGTTTGAATGACTCCAGGAGGAATACCAGGCTTCTCTCATTAAGACCAAATATTGGATTTCAAGGGTGATGAATGTCCACTGCAGACTCATAGAGGTCAATGCAGCTTCAGCAGCAAGTGAACATCTGTCATATTTGAAAGGAAATGGGATTGCAAATGGATCTCTTATGAACTGCACGGCCGAGCACGGAGAATTCAGTGTTCTCAATCAGATTGGTTTAGCTGCGTGGTTTAGGCTGAGATTAGAGGAAATACAATCTCATCTCAGTTGTGTGCTCAGGTAAACAGCACATTTTGCTGCACCACGACTGAACTGTAGTCCTCTAACAACATGTTGTCAGGTTTTATGATGTTGTATTTTTATATATTTGCGATAATGGACTTTACTAGAAGCACAAACACTGAAGTCTCATTTAAAGATGTCACAAATGAATTGCATCACTGGCAGACAGGCAGAGGTTGTAATGGTGTGGTGTCCCATTGTGTCTTTCTTTTGTAGTGTGTCTAGGTCTATATGCCGAGGGGGTAAATCTGATATCTGCCCTCCCCCCATCCCCTCCTTCCTCCACCTGTGACCTTCACAGGAGTGAAATGACAGAGGGCGGGTTGGTGGAGGGTAAAATGTAGACTGAGCTCTGCACAGTTACCATGGTGAGATGTGTCAGACTGACTCAGGCAGACTGTGTGCCAGTGACACTCAAGGTTTTGATCAGTGTTAAGAGGATATAACAGGGAGAAAGAACTCAGCAGCACAGGGGAGGGGGTGGTGAATATACAGAGGCAGAGCACAGGAAGGGAGGGTGAAAAGGAAAAATACAGCAGACGATGCAGGTCTTTTAGAAACCAGGATCCAGCATCACTGAAAAACATCTACGCATTTTAGTAATTATGTGAAGACTTATACGTTTTCAAATGTTTTAATAGAGAATATAAAGAAAGGGACGGGGAGCGTTAAGTAGGCAGCTGTAGCTTTGAATTGAGTATGTCGTTGTTGGTACATAGAGCAGTATGAGAGTTCTGCAATGTTTCCATGGTAATGGACTGTACCACAACCAGCCTAGGCTAAGTGGACTAACCCTGGATGTGTAGCCTCAGGGCGTCTGTATCACAGTACCAGGGTCAGTGGGCCGCTGGAGTGAATTCTTTCAAAGTATTTTTTTTTTTTTTTTTTTTTTGTCAGAGGACATGGATGGGAGTTGGGAGGGAGGGGGAAGAGGAGAGGGTGTGGGGATGGGAGGAGATGAGTGCACCTACAAGCTTTAATTCATCACTCACTTCTCTCCACAGGCAGCGGCAAGCTGTCACCGCTATGACTGTGTGTGTTTGTGTGTGTGTGTGTGTGCGTGATTGAGTTTGTGTGTTTATGTGTGTGCGTGACGCGCATGCACTAGCAGTTCTCTCCATGACTTATTAATGAGACAGTATTGGCTTTCGCCTGTACTTAAGACTCAATTCCTCTCACTCTCTCTTGCAGCCCAAAGTGCCGAGTGCAGACTGGAGATATTCAGCCTCCCTGAGAGCAGGAGGTGTAATGCAGAGGTAAGCATCCCATTTATTTTCTGTCACTTTGCAGCATCTCATCGAACCTCACCAGTCACTTTCGTCATGTTATGTCAAAAAAGACATGTACACTATTATCCCACCTGATAAGCAAATAACCAGATCCTGCACCACTCTCTAACTCACTGATCTTAAGAACCACCCATTCTTCATTAAGACTGATTGCTACCCCTGACAACTTAACCCAACATAAGTGCACACTTGGGTTTGGGAGTCATGAAACATATTCTCACATAGTCCACAGAAGCTTGCCGTTGAGGCACACTGCACATTTAAGATGTGAAATCATACAAACATTAAAATGACATGCACCTGCAATACTAAGTAAAATAAAAGGGAAAGTCAGGGGAGAAGCCCTGTCATCCTGCAGTGGAAACCAAAGACATTCATTTCATACCGAGGAGTCATTCTGTAGATCTGTTTTGGTTTGTTGAAATGGAATAAAACACTGAACATGGAAAGGGTACCCATGATATGGCCACTAGGCAGAATGTATTATTGTCTTCAAAGCCCCACCCATCTTTGTGCCACAGAGGCAGGGCTGCAACTAATGATCATTTGCATTGTGGATTAATCTGTCAATTACTTTCTCAATTAATCGATTTGCTTTTTGGTCTATAAAATGTCAGAAAATGGTGAATAATGTCAGTTAGTGCTTCCCAAAGCCCAAGACGACTTCCTTGAATGTCTTGTTTTGTTCACAATCCAAAGACACTAAGTTTACTGTCATATAGGAGCAAAGAAACGGAAATATTCACATTTAAGAAGCTGGAATCAGAGAATTTAGATTTTGAATTACTCAAACTGATTAATTGATTATCATATTAGTTGGCAATTATTTTCGTTGTTAACTACTAATCATTTAATGGATTAATCATTGCTGCTCTACACAAAGGCAGGTGAGGCACATAGGTTCATTCATTGATGTATTCCAGTAAAGATGTCTGAGATCATCATTGCTGGCAGCTGTTGCTTAGCTGAGATTACAGTGCTGAGGGGAAACGGGTGGGGCTGAGTAACAGTCTTTTCCAAAAACAGAATAATGCCACCATATTTTACCCACTTACATTCACACTTCTCAGTGTACATTATTTCTGTTAAACACACAGTTAAAGTTAACTGTGAGAAAACAAGCAAATGATTTAGATTTGATTAAAAAAATCTAGCTTTCATAAGCAGAAACAGTTACTCTTGTAATGATCATCAAAACTGGAAAAAAAACTGAATGTGAAATAAGAGAGAAGAGGTATAGTGAGGAGAAATGCAGTTGGACACGGCTCTCTCAATATTACCATAGACAGATGGAGAACTGACAGGAGGGAAGGGTAAGAAGAGCGGGGGTCAGTGATGGATGAAGGGCAGGTAGTCAGGAGGAAAGATGGCCTATCAGAGACATGGGGATTACTGCATGACCACACCAGTGATCAGATTACCCATAAAACACTGGGCTACTACCTGCTGTGGGATCAGATGGACCCGAGCAAATCAAGGGTCATACTAATGAGGTGGCACCATAATTACAAAAGTCCCAGGCTTAATGGGCTACCCACGACATGTCTATCTACCTACCACTGATCATATTCATCTAGTCTATCCACTTCCTATAGATAGATATGGCATAGATGGATTGAGACAGTGGCCTTGAACAGACAACAAGCGGCTTTACAATCTCTATGCCACAGAAAATAGTAGTAGTATTTCTCTGTAACACCCAAGCCCATCATAATGATAATAATAATGATACCATGTGCACACACATGCAAATGATTATTTCTGTATCCATGGCGGTGTTATGGTAGAGACAACCACATTAAAAGATGAAGAGCGCACATCTTTCACTGCCTTCTTATGTTGCTGCTCATTGATATGAGTCTCCTGAGACCCATGCCTATATGCAGGGCTGGGCAATATGTAGACAATTAAATATCACAATATTGTTTATTAAATATCTTGATATCAATATTGCAATGATGTTGTAGAGTTGACTATTGATGCTTTCACAAAATATTTGCACAGTGAGATTCCTGATAATAATTATCTGTAATGTTGGTACAATGACCAAATGGGAAAAGGCAAATAATAGAGCAGCTAGAGTCTGTCAAGTTCAGAAATTACATAATGCAGCCTTTAAAACCAGGAAAACACAACACTTACTCTATTATGATGTTCAAAAAAGACGATATCTTGTCTAATATCACAATATGGCAGCCCAGTCTCGTAGAAATGATGGACACAAAGTCATAACAACACATTACCTGGTTGTGGGCAGGAAATATGTTAAAATTATGTGTTGGCAAAACAAAAACAATGCCAATGCAAAGTCAGTAAGGATCTTTTGTTGTGATGGACACACATATTAAATAGGTGGTAGGGACGAGGGGGTGGGATGGATCAAACAAACATGGACTTTCAACCAGAAGGCTGTTCATGTCCTGTGTGAAACAAAGTCAACATAGATACATGACTTTATGGATGTTGCATAATTAGACAAAGTACTTTATGCAGGTACTTTACCTATTTACACAAGGTATGGAAGTTTCACACCACTTATGTCCCGTACGCAACTTTGTGTTTCCTAGGATGGTGAAGGCATGACCCACCCTACTCTGCCTCTGACTGGTTTACCCTGACATTCTTACCCAAACCCTAACCAATCTCACTCCTCATGCATATACCTAACTAATCCAACCAACAAAGGTAACAAGTACAAGCCTGTCAGGGGGAAGAGTAGGGTGGATCATGCCTTCGTTATCCTAATCTGCATCTTGCACATAGTTGTTTTCACCAAAACCATGATCTTCTTTTAACTTAACCAAGTATTATTTTGTTCTCTAAACCTAACCAAGTGAATTTGTTTCTCTAAACAACACATTCTCACTATGACCTCGTCACATATTGACATTTGGTCATGGACCTTTTATGTCCAGACACGGCATGAAAGGTACCCTGGGTGCTTAGGTTGTTGACGTTCTGGGAAACCGTGTCAAATTATGTCTATTACATGCATTGTCTTCTTTCAAAATACACTCATGTTTTGACGGTAAATTTGCCGTTTACATACAGTCTCTTTCAAAATAAACGCACGCATAACCAAACCTCAACATTTCATAATAGACACTGCGTTGATATTGTTTTCGTCTTGCCAGGGCATAATTTAGTTGAGAGATGTTAAGAGGTCATGTCAGTTTACATGTATTTTTGTGAGACCGTGTTGATATCGATATAATATTGATATATTTCCCAGCCCACGTGTTACATCATCTGTATACTGTAGACACACATCCTGTATATCCATATTCATGTGTGCACTCTGATGTCCAAGTCAGATTATTAACTCTGTACCATCCGAGTGTCATTAATGTTACACAGATCCCCTCATAATTACAGCAGGGATTAATGAGCATTAATGTGCTTGTGTGAACCCGTCTAACATATTAAATCTTTCTCGTGACTCACTACCTCTGATGTGTTTTAAGTTGACTATCCCGCATGTCCCATTACCGAGCCTCACTGGATGTTCATTTATAATCAGAGCTCGTAAAAGAGATTTTGGATATCACACCCAAACTCCATGTAATGGCGCTGACCTATTTAATTTAATTTAATCTCTGTCAAAATGCACATGATTTCCTACTAATTGTGCTTTTTTTTGAGGGGGTTGTGTCGGGGTTTATTTTGTGATCACTGTAGTTATACAAGAGACAGATATTAGTCCTTTTGGAAATTCATCGTGTACTGTACAGCAGTTGTCAGATAAAGAAAGAGACAACTATAATAACACCGACAATAACACAGCAGCACCAAAGAAAACATCAACAACAAGGCACCTCTCTATTATTATGGACCTGTTAACCACACATTAACAATATAATTTATTTTTTTAAAATATCATGGTTGTCATCACTGCTGGTATATCGTAAAACCCCTAATCTGAAGCAAACGAAATTTGCCCTATCAGAAAGTCTACATACTGGAAAATGATGAGGACGCATGTGTTTACAGACGGCAGGAGAGAATGAAATGATAAGGGACAAGAGAGAAGCTGAAAAGTGTTTTATCAGCCCAGTGTTTTCCATTAATATTTGATCAGTGCACCTTGATGATGCTAGTGCTTAGCAGCATTTAAAATGGCCTCCATCACCAAATCACTTCTGTTTTCTTCACAGAACTGCTGTACACAAGGATCTAGATTGATACATATTAACTGTCTTTTAACATTAATAAGCTACAGACTTATACTCTTATTTACACAATTATATTCTAATACTCCCTGGTTCCCAAAATTGTTTGTAAAGACTGAAAGCTCCTTGTTTTCTTGGAGTAGAATCATTATTGTTGCCTCAGAAGAAAACAAATTACAGAGAAGAGAGACTAGCACACATTAAAGACGTCAGTGAAGGTTTAAACTTCTAAAGACCTAAATTTCCACTCGGAGACAGTGGGGAGAAGAGTAGACAGGTGGATTAAAATGGAACAGCAGGAGGCAGAGATTGAGAGTCTAGAGGTTTTAGAACAAATATTTGAGTAGAATTATATCTGTATCTGAATTATCTTCTTTTGAACAAAATTTAATCGAGAAGACTTTAATCTGCTGCTAACACCCAGCAGCTGAAGGTAATATTAAATGGGTGGTGCATCCAAATCACAGACAGACAATTTCATATTATGGTTGAATATCCTGTTCATGTCATGGGTAATGGATCATGTCAGCTGCTGCAATCTACTTGTATAATTTAGGTGAAGAGGCACTTAAAGAGAGATGTTGCCCTCCTTGCTTGGATCATATCACTAAGCAGTGGCCCTTTGTAAAGATAACAAGTTTCACCTGGATCGTCATGACTAAAATCTTATTGTCAGAGCTAGAAAATATAATCCTCCCCTTTCTAAAGATAAGGCAGAAGCTGTGAGAGAGAACTGTGGTTCGTAGCAGCGTTTCTGTTGCTATTGTTCAGCACTACAGAGAGTGTGGTGTTTTTCAGTAGAGGGGAGGGTGCCGAATCCCAGAGTGTGTGTGAAAATGTAAGAGCGGCCATCTGTAATCCATAATCCAGAGAATGCCAGAGAAAAATGTAGGGTGAATACTTTAATCCTAATCTGAACATTATTTTCTAACCCCCCCACACCCACAGTACCAAGGTCTGTATTTGTAATATTGTGTATTATAGGAAGCATATGGAGACAAGAGAATTTAATATGTGGGAGATTACATTTAAGTCACGTGAAACAATCACAAAGTAGAGCTTCACAAAGTATTAAATTATATGTATTCATTCTTTTTGTTTTGCAGTTTAATTTAGCGTGGTTTAGTATTTAAAATAATCGCCTAATGCCAGTGTCAGAAAAGCCTCCGCTACCACCTAAAATGCTTGATAGTCTATCGGTCAATATGCAAGCACCGATCTGATACCACGTAATTTATTAATAAACCTCAAAGTAGTATAACACCCTGGAAAACCATCAGTTTTCATTGAAAAATTAACCCACTATTTTTGGTATTTTGGTATCAGATTGGTACTTGGTATTGGCCCAATACGTAAATCCAGGTATCGGAATCAGTAGATAAATGGTATCAGAACATCTGTAATATCATAAATTTGGTAACTTTTCAAGTGTGTAAAAGTGTGCATGTTTGTTTTGTGTGTTGCAGCTCAGTGCACATGGAAGAGTCCTCAGTAATGCAAGGAGCCCAAGGTGTCCTGGTTCAGAACTGGCCCACTGCATCTAGCGCTGCTGGTAAGACTCAGCTTCTCTCACCTAAACCAGTCACAGCTACCTTCAACAGGCACAGTACAATAATAAATGTATATAAAGTGAGAGGTCCGCATGGCACACATGGACCCAAAGTGCTGTAACAACCATCTACAATCTAGTTTAATGGATCTCTGTGCAACCCTGTCCATGACACAGATTCAGACCAGCTAGGACCATCCTATACATGTACTAAACTGTACATTCCTAAAGAGTGTATCAAACCACGAGAGAGTCATAAAATGAGGAATACAGAGATATCAGCTACGAGATCGCCACGACCCACTCTTACCACTTCCCACTGCTGCAGGGAGAGGAAATGACACATGCTACGTAGGCGTAGATGGATATCTCTGCTCTCTGTATCAGGAAGGGAGACAATGCAGAGAAAAAGAGGGCGAGGGAGAGCCAATAGTTGATTGTACTATCAGCGAGATGTTTACAGAGGCATAAGCCACTGAGCCACAGAGGACAAACATTAGAGAACACATTAGAGAAGAAGAATAAAACACAATTGCATTCCCTCATCTATTAATGTGGATCTCTCTCATTGTCCAGCTCTCTTATGCTCACACTCACAAAGACAAAGATAAAGGATCGAACATTTTTGTGTATTTGTAAGCTTTTGATAACGTGTAGAGTATACATCTGTGCATTACACAACTGCATACATTCAACAAGCAGATGAATGCTTTGTAGTGATATATTTCACTATTACTCTCATGAAGGAAGCAGTCTTTTTAAGAATTTAAGCCACCAGGCATTTCAGCTGCAAGACAGCCTATGAAATTGCAGATACGAGTCAAATTCAAAGTGGTGTTCAAAACAGAATAGTAATTATTGGCAACGTCATTGCTGTGAAGCAGCTGCAGGCAAGCGACACACATGGAAGCGTCAACTTAGCTCGTTGCTTGATAACCATTAAGTCTAAATTTAACATTTTCCAGCATTTGACACATTGTTGTTGTCAAGAATGTCAGAAATATTGCAAGGGTAGAACAGACTGTTTTCACCAAGCAGTCCAGTTCAGTTCAGAATGGTGTAATTTTGCCTTTCCATTGTCAAAAGTTGTGGATGGTCCCAATAAAGGCGTTCCATGCTGTTCTGTTTTTTTGTCACCCCTCTGTTGACATAAAGACAAAATAATTTTTGGTCATCTGTCCTTCATCAGGATGGAAAAGACCTCACCAAGGCTCAAACAAAGCACTGCAAAGAAGCATATTAGAAAACAGTGCAAGCTCGATCTCAAGAACAGGAACGCTGGAACAAAACAAATCCCTAAATGACAGCATACTCAATGCTAGATGACATTTCACGGACATTGTAATGTGAATGTCATTGCATATGATGCCATACTCCCAGCCCCTAACCAAGATTTATGACCGAAGACTCCACGGCACACACAGTGTCAGCGCCCTCCGTGCACTGAGGAGAATACAGTTGTCAACTCTTGACTTTCCTCGGGATGACAGGGAAGTGGAGTCGTAAAGGATTAAGAGTGAAGTTAAGAAAAGAGTGGCCTTGCGGAGAAAAATGAAGGAGGGGGCAGGTGAGATAACTAGACAGAAGTACATACAATAAGAGGAGTGGAGCAAGGACGACGGTGTAATTAAGTTTAGATAAAGAGGTGATTTGTTGTAATCAAGAAAGTAGAATTGGCCGAGACTCGTGTCTTTTATAGACAGGAGGCGGTGGGCTGGGCAGGCAGACAAACTACCCACACACTAGCTACTGTCTCTTCCTATCCGCACGCACACACGCACACAGCCTCCTCCGCTCTGCCATCGATTTGTTTCCTTGGCTGAGGACTTACAGCCTGCAGGCACTTCAAAACATGAGCGATTGAAAGATAGAGCGACAGAGAGAGACAGCAGAACAGGCAGTCGTGACGTCTTCAGGGTGGGTCGGTGATAACAAGATCAGCTGGTGAGGATTTAGGGTGGTCTAATTAAGCTGTGGCAGTTGGAGAACAACACATTGTGCACATGCTTTGCCTAAAGGCTAGCTGTCCATTTTTTATCTCATTGTTAGCCAGGTTAAGAATAGGCATATTAGCTGAGGGCTATATTAGCTTCAGGTCAGATTTTAGGGTTGGATTAAGGGTAAATCTGGGCTAAGAGTGGCAGATAATATGAAAAACATGTATATCTAAAGCTCCCTGACTGGAGGACAAGATTGGGAAAGATTTGTGTTCTGACTTTGAAGTTAGTTCTGTTCATCATGTCTCAGAAATGAGAGAAATGAAGATATTGATTCAATGTGGCCTGTCACATCACTGTGAGTCACAGTCTGTGCTATTTATAACTAAATCATCTTGTTTGCGAGGCAGGCTGCAGTCCTTAGGTGGAGAGCAGGAGTATACGGGAGTTTGGTTTGTTGAGGGAGTTCTTTCAGTCTGTTGTGCTGTACCTGCAGGGCGATGTTTTGCCTCACAGTCTATTTTTTGCTTCGACATGAGACATGGAGGTACAGCAGACAACGCCCCTGTTTCTCCCTCCTCTGATTCGGGAGCGATTTGTGCATTTGTGTTGTTGCATCTTGTTTAGTGTTTTTTCGTGTGAACGTGCGTGTGTGCCTGGCCGTGTTTCTGAGTGTGTTTTGGCTGCCTGCTTTGTGTGCTGCTCCTGCTGTGACAGATGGAGCGCAGCCCACGCCCAGATTAACAGACCCACATTAATGAAATCAGGGTTCTGCTTGCTGTCTAACTCGCTCTCCCTATCTGCTTCCCAATCCCCCTATGTCTTCCTCTTCTGTCTCTCCCACTATTTCACATCTCTGTCTCTAAACCAAAGATACGCAGGGATTCAGAGAGAGCTGTGCAGCATTGCAACCAGAGATGCAGAGAGAGACGGAGGGGGAGGAGGGAGATGTGCAGGTTGCAAAGCAAGGGGGTGATAAGAAATGAGAATAAGCAATAAATGATAAGGTGCAGAGGAAGGTAGAGACGCGATGAGCATAAACTGTTTGGGAGGGATTGAAGATGAGTAAATCAGAGTGATTGACTGTAGCAAAGTCTGCAAAGGAAAGGAAGGAAGCAGTACAAGGCTGCTGTTGCTAGGGGAGAGTGGTTAGACTAGACACAGGGAGGGAGAGGGAGAGAGCTTGCAGCATTATTCTCCATCAGCACAAGCACTGTCACCATGACTCCTACCAATGTCCTACTGCTTCACTGGAGGATGTAGTTTCCACGGCAACCATTCATGGCCCCTAATATTGGCAGGAGAGAGAGGAAGGGAGGGGGGGCTGTTAAGAAGAGGGGAGTGCAAACATATGGCATGGGACAAAAGGTGCTGAAGGAGGGAGAAAGAGGGGGAAAGAGAAAAAAAAACATTTTGGCATCAGGTGAAGGACAAGATAAATGGAGGTGCTGACTGAAACGCACATACACGACAGGCAAAAGCTACAGAAGAGCAGGGGGGTGACGAAGTTAAAGGAGGGAGGGACGTGTTTGGAAAGTGAGAGTTGGAGGTAAGAGGTGTAAAGGGAAGGAGGGAGCAGAGGAGTGAGTAACAGGAGAGTGACCTACATTCACTGGGGTGGTGGTGTACTGCAGAGGTGGATGCAGGTTTACTGTTTTCGTTATCGCCACAGATCGCACACATACGCGCTGAAACATACACACAGAGGGAAGAGAGGACAGATTTGATTAAGGTTAACAGTAATCAACTGCAGCGGGCAAAAATAGACTCAAGGGTGGAGGCAAAATGCCAAGAAAAAATGGTGGGCAAGAGGAGACTACTCATTTTGCTCCTTCAGTGCTTCAAGGCTTGACTATATGATCCACTTTGTAGCATCTAGCACCATAACTTTGTCAGTGTCATCAGGAGGGGTGGGTACAAGTTTGAATACGTACATTTTGAGGGATTTTGTCGCAACCCCTTCTCATAGAAATGACTTTTGTATGTTTCTATACTGCCTTCTTGATTACGTTGTTGTGGCAACATAATGGCTGCCTCGATTATGTTCAGAGATATTGTTTCTCTAAGGTAATGGAACACTACATTCATGTACCATGTAGGCTTTGGAAGGGGCTCGTAGGGGAGGGCGGTGGGCGTACAAAGTCATCACAGGTAGCTTACATCCTCGAAATGTTCACAGTTAATGAAAAATCCATTTACAAAACAAATGACAAACAACCTGAGATGAAGGCTGAAATATGACAGCAAAATAACTGATAAATAATTTTAACTATATGTCTGTTAGCAATTTCGTTAGCAATAAGGTAGCTACTTTTCACAGCTGCACTGCTGATCTTCTCAGCTAAAACTAAAACCAGATTTATGTTTCCTCAAACCTGCCAACAACAACAATTTATCTTCTCTGTTCTTAGATGTCCTTGAAAGTAGTTGTATTTTTTACCATAATGAGTTGATAGTGGTGCTAAATATAATATCTCTTAAGCACTGAAAGGTCCAAGCACACTGACTTCCCATTTACCTCTGTGAAGAAATAGGAACTGGATCATTTGGGCAACTAGGAATAGCAGTGGAATTAATGACTTCTCTGCAATGTTTATGTTAAGCAAAGTCATTGTGTGGGCCAGATTGGACCCTTTAGTGGGCTGGTTCTGGCCCATGGGCCGTATGTTTGGCACCCCTGCATTAATCAGTCCCAACAAAGTCACACCGAAACAGCTCAACTTTGTCATTTAACTGTTATGTAACATTACGTAAAGTCCATTCACATTATGGGTATTGATTGAAGCACTCTACTGGTATCACTTTAAGGGTACTGGTATCATAATTTTTTAAACAATACCCAGCCATATTTGTTAGCGAACAATTTACCGATAAGTGAAACTCGTTTTCATTGACAGTTTGCTGATACATTCAGTATCTACATTTTTGTGACTCACCAGATACATTAATTTGCATTATCCCCTCATTATGTTAATAGAAAATGTTATTTTCTCAGCATTACTTTTCCCTCAAAATGTTTTTGCTCTATTAAATTACTTGTGTATAAACGTGTTTTTTGAGTAGTGG